TCAATTCCTTACTCAATTCCGCTCTGCAATCTCTGTAGATTTCCATGGTGGGCCTACAGTGCACACTGTGTTCGCCGGTTCTGGCTCACATGCGACGGCCCAAAATCGTTCCAGAAAAGCCACACGCCGAGCGGAAACCAGGCTCGTTCGCGCTTACGTGTTGTTTCTGTATAGCCGCTGCTAGTACGAACAGACGCAAAAGCCCAAAATGCACGAAAACCATTTTTGAGAGTGGCGCGACGGCCCAAAACCGTTCCAGAATGGCCACATGCCGACCGGAAACCTTGATCGTTCGCTTTGCGCTTACGTGTTTCTGTATAGCTGCTGCTACGCAACAGGCAAATTCGGTTCACCCTAAAAGCCGGCCTCGCCAAGCAGGAACGAAGGCCCCAGCAGCACGATGGGAACCATCACTTCCACCTGAAAAGCTCTGGGACACAGGCAGAATCAGATACGATGCAATGCTTCAGCTGCTGTACTGCAGAAGCATGATCTGCATTTCGATAGTGCCCCTCGAACTGCCACACACGTCCGCCTGGCGCTGATGAACGCCGCGGCTTGGGTTAGACATCCTAAGACTAGACTTGCAAGTTGTAACAGCCGATACTAAAGCTGCAACACGCAAACCATCCCGACTCCTGAAAACGGCTGAGAAATGCAGAAGTGGCCGTGCCGGTGGTGATATTGACGGTGGTGGTGCTGGTAGCGGTCTTACGTTACGACGACGAGGAGGAACCCATGATTGGTGCCGCAAATGAAAAGAGTTGAAAACACACTGATGATGATCATGATGCTGATCATTGCGGCAGTGGTGGTGTTGGTCGGAGTGGTACAGGCGACGGTGGCGGGGTGGTCGTGGTGGTGGTGGTGGTGGTGGTGGTGGTGGTGGTGGTGGTGGTGGTGGTGGTGGTGGTGCTGCTGCTGCTGCTGCTGGTGCTGGTGCTGCTGCTGCTGCTGCTGGCGGGCGGCAGCGGCGGTCGCAGTCGTGGCGGCGCTGGCGGCAGTGCCAGTGGCGACGGGGCAGAGTGAGGGCGATGGCAATGTATAGTGTTGATGCTGTATATAGTCAGTAGTCATTCTATACACTATATGCTTTATTGGCTGGCAAGCGATATCCGATATCCAGCAGCTCACCCTCATCCATTGCAGCAGTTTCCCGGTTTCCCACACAAAGCATGAGCTGCGCGCCCGGTCCGGAGATTCAAGCAAGCACTCATCTTGCCATGGGAATCGCCCTAAACGCTTGCAACACCCCGCAATCCCCGCGGCCTGCTCAAAAAAGGAGGACACCATGAGGTATTTCTTCTGCGCCAGCATGGACTCCCAGATACTCCGGCGTAAAACGCCAAAGCGCTCCTGCAGATCGAGGTGCTGGGATACTGCGGGGCCTTAATGTCTATAGTAGGGTTCGATACTACAAGGGGCCTCAATAACAGTACAATTGGGTTCCTTAAAGGGCTCGATCTATAAGGGATCTATGGTTCTATACTATAGGGGCTTAACAATTCGAATAGCGTTGGTGGCCCATTACACTATAGTTATAATCAGGAACCCCCAAACTAGTATTGGTAAAAATAGGCGCCCGAAGGCTATCTACAGTAGTCTTTCAGCTATGCTGTCTGCCACCTCTACCGACGTGTCTCTCGCTCTGTCAAGGACCTCCGCGTGGTGAAGACCACAACCCCGACTCCGGTGCCTTCAGTCGTCCAAGATGGACGGCCTCACTTCGGGCCAGCGCCTCAATGTACACGAAGTGGCTGAGGATCTTTAGCCGTACTCCGTCACCCCTGTAAAATACTCAACCCTACAAGTCATGCTGTTACGCTTCTGGTTGTTGGTCATTGGCACATTGGTATTTCGCTGGATGCACAACTGGTTATATACACGGCCTCCATCAACGCTACATACCCGCTCACGCAAACGCACAAGCGACCACGCAGGCATGCAAACACTCGCACTAGCAATTAAAACCTTCAAAGTACCAATAATAAGAGACATACTCACAACAAACAAAACAAAGCAACCTGGAAATTGAGGCATTTCTAAACCACGACTAGTGCAACGGATAGGCTGACCAGAAGGAAGAACTCCTCTTACTGAGCCGACGAGCAGCAATCGTCTCTGCCCTTTGCCGCACAGTGACCAGTTCGAAGCGGAAGTCAGCTTCGGTCCATTGGTTGGTGCCTCGAATGGGCAATTGAACAATCAAATCAATGGGACTTCGTAGGCGTTGAGTTTTTGAAGACTCTTTTGGGCATTTACAGTATAGGGCGTAGGGTCTAGAGTAATCGGGTCTTGATTGCAAGCTTCTATAATCACATATGTGTCCAGATTCACGCACCGCCTTGCCTTGTCTTTATAAAAACACACACACACACACACACACACACCTGAAAACGCCCACGCGTGGACCATCCTGATTAAAGCCCAGCCCTTGCGATGCAAGCTCTTAAAGTTCCAAGAGGCCTTCCAGGCCCTCCAATCTCCAGGACACCATCATGGTCACCTGGCGGTCTTGTCCCAAATTCTATGATTACTATTATTACGATTATTACGGTTATTACTATTTTTACTAATCCAAACCAAGTCTCTAAGGCAAAGAACCGAACCTCTTGAGAATCGAACATGCCCATTTCGCTGCATCCATGGCACATAGGTGGAGACACCCGCGTACAAGATGGCCAACCACAGCAACCAGCCTGCAAGTGATATTGGCCAAAGGCAGTCAAAAACGAGATGCAAACTCAATGCACCCTAAACCCTAAACCAGCCTGGGAAGTGAAGGCCTTCGTAACCAAACACGTTCTGAGGGGACAGTGTGTACGTCTTCATCGAGAACATGAGGAACTGTAGCAGACCTCGCGTCAGTAGGAAATCTTTTGGAAAGTCTTGGAAACAGAGACTCTCAGAAAACCTACTCCCTGTTTGCAAAGACTTGTACATGCCCGCCTGGATGTCGGATGTCAGGCGTACTCCCTAAACCCCAAACCCAAAACCTGCTTCTTCGGCGCACCCAATGTTAAACCCTAACCCTAAGGCTCCACTTACCTTGATAATGGGTTACTGGGGTCGACCCCTGGCGCCCCGTGCCCCCCGCCCGGCCCTCTGGCTCCCCTCCTCGAAAGGAAGCACAAGGCACAGGCAGACCAGGGCAGAGGTGGGAATTGAGGGCGTAAGCCCTAAACCCCAAAAGGTAATATTTTGGGTGGTAGCCTGTGTAAGCTCACAGCGGGTGGGAAAAGAAACAGAAACCAATTTGTAAGTGTTTGGTGGTGGAGTCGCATTCTACTGCTAGACGTATATATGCCGCCCCCCCACACCCCTTTGAGTGTGGTACCATCCTACATAGACAATACTGCCGCTGCGCGGCAAAACGCCCTAAACCCTTTTGCATCCAGGCCTCTTGTGGTGTTGCCCGGTTATCAGCGCCCTAAACCCTAAAGCCCTAAACCCTCAAGGAAGAAATAAACAGAAATTGCTTGTCGTTGCTGGCGTTGAGCGCCCTAAACCGTCACTTTCAAGCCCAACCCAGCCCAAAACCAGGTTCCAGTCATAGAACTCTCCCAGTTTCACATCGTTGCAAAACTCTTGCAAAATTCAATAGTAGGTTCCCATCCCCAAAACTGCGCCCTCAGCCCAGCCCAGCCCCAGCCCTGCAGCCCAGCCCCAGCCCCAGCCACAGCCCCAGCCAGCCCCAGACCCACCGGCCGAGCACCAAATTTTCCAAAATCAGGTTTCAGTCAGAAAACCTGCTCAAAACGTTTCGCTCAAAACTTATTGGCACCCAAACCCTTAACAATTTCTATAAAGCCTTAAGCCCTAAACCCTAAACCCTTTTTTGAGCGAGCGTCTGTTGACCGCTCCGACTGAGAGGTCGACGGAACTTGAGATGAAGACCTGCATATGGGAGTTTCCGAAAATTAGGGCCCCTTTAGGGTCCTTTTAATGAGGGCTCGGCTTAAAATAGGGGACCCTAACATAGTACTCCACATAGTACTAATTCTCGGAAACTATCATATGGGTTGTTCTCTGAATTAGGGCCCCCCCTTTGAGGTCTTTTTAATGAGGGTACCGCTTAAAATAGGACCCTGATTTAGAGAAGTACCTCAGCTGACATCGTAGCCTTAACAATTATAGAAAGGGACCATTGTACTATACTTTTAACAAGGCACTCCCAACAGAAACTGCAGAGGTAAGGCCCCTATAGTAATCTGCAGAAGCCCTTGCCTGCACATCCTCCTGGATTCGCTGGTCTGGATTGCTTGCATCTGCGCCATCCTGCCCCTTCGTCAGTTCCAGCCTTGCCACGGTTTAGGGCTTAGAGTTCCTAAACCCTAAACCCTTTAGGGCCTGCTCAGTGTAGTTGTGTTGGGATTTTCGCGACTTTAAACAATAGTTGTTTAGGGCCATTCAGGGTTCAAGGCTCAATCTCCTCTGCAGACCCTTGTCGCTGGGAAGGTTCTAGTGTCTGAACAGAGAAACTCTGCCCCGAGCCATGCCTTCAAAAAATGACGGTGAATGCGGCTTGGGTGGCAGGTCTTGGTTTAGTCTGGTCTGGTCTGGCCATCAGGTCTCCATCGTTCATTGGGAAACCCAGCTAGCACGAAGCAAGCAGCAACACCTGCAAAGAAGTGACAGGGACATTCTCGGCTAAAGCAGTCTTGTGCAAGCGGGTCGAGGGTAACGGACCCTTCCAAGGCCATGACGACAAGGAGAAAAAATATCAAGGTGTCACGAACCAGCTGTTAGAAAGATCTTTCACAACTTGGAAAGAGCAAGCGAGCCAACTGGAGGTCAGGAGCCTGTAGGAGCTGAAGTCGGACAGCCAATTGGAGGTGTAGCGCTCCTCGGAACATAAGATACAGCATGCCAACACTGCTGCTCACGATGGTTCTGAGAATGCTGCTGCCTCACTTAGCCGCGAAATGGTGACTGTGAGGATCACAGGACTACTGCGGCCCTGGTACGTCTCAGGATCTGTCGAGATCTGTATCTTAAACGTGACGAGAACCAGTACTTGCGTGGCAATCAACGCTTGGTCTCACGGCGTGCGATGCAAAAGCGAACTTTCTACTGCCGCAAGAACGGTTGCTGATACCGACCCCTTCGGTATTCGCTTGCAGAAAACCTGATTTGTGAAATATGGGAGTCTTAACAATTAGACTAGGATCTGAGGGAGTAGTAGACTTAAGATAACGTATCTAAGGCTTTAGGATGTTGGGGTTGAGGGGTTGAGGGTTTTAGGGGTCTGGGGTGTTCGGGTTTAGGGGCTTGCGGTTTTATTGGGTTGGCTTTGGGGCAGTATGAATGTGGAGACAAGAGTCTGTGACGTTCTCCCGCACCAATAACACGAACATGGATGTCAGGTAGTACCGGTAGGCCGTCGCAAACAGTGCCATGAGAGCATACAGCAAGAATTGTGCGCAAAGCGCTTGGAGCTGGTACCAGTGCCTTATGTTCTCAGAGTGCATTGGGTTTCTCAAAATTCGGCGAACCTTGTCCGGGTGCTTATATAGGGACACAGTTTTCGAGGGTCTGCAGGAGCTCAAGGGTCTCTGAGTCTCGGATATTCTTCCACTGGCTTGCTGTGCCCAACTCATCCGGCTTAGAGAGCCAAAAGGAAAGCCCGAGATGCATCATACCATCCTTGGCCGAGTTCCAGTCCTCGGCTTAAGGAAGCGGCGACGAGCGTCTGACTATGAGTAATTAAACGACGACGCCCTAAGGTCAGCTTCTTAAGAACCAATCACTTCCCACCGTTTTTTTCAACACCCCCGAATAACAACAACACCTTGGGCCGAATCCTCCCGAAGCCATCCATGCCTTGAAACCCTGGTCTGAAGCAGGGGGGGTTCGAGGCTCCACATACCTTCACACCACAGTAAGTAACAGCAAGAGCAAGAGCAGGAGTTGGAGCATTGGAGCAAGAGTAGGAGCAGGAGTTGGAGCAAGAGCAGGAGCAAGAGCAAAAGCGGGAGCATAGCAAAGCAAGAGCGGGAGAACAGCAAGAGCAGGAGCAGGCGCAAGAGATGCAGAGGAAGCAGGACCAAAAGCCAGCGCGGGAGCAAGAACCAGAGCAAGAGTACGAGCCTTCAAAAGTGACAGTAGAAATAAACATGCACTCTAATAATGAAAACGCTTTCCGAGTTTCTATTGGGAAGAGGGGACACCCCCGGTTAATTATTAGGTGGAAAAGATTACTTGCATGGACACTCTGACCATCAACTTGGGGCACGTAGCCAAAAAAGCGCAGCACCCGTACAGCAATATGCAACACTCGACAACTGGTCACCTGGTCGAAACGAAGGGAAAGCGTATGATGCAGGATGTTCTCATGGCAGGAAGTGGCAAAACGGAGAGAGAGACAGGGAGACGGAAATGCATGCGCACAAACAAGTGTGCAGATGCAAGCCCATTCGTATGTGTGGGAATGTATACCATGAAGTTCAGCCAATAAGTACGTAGGTATATATAGATAAACGTATGTGTGAGATTTTGCGTGTCCGTCATTGTCGTTGTCAGTGTCATTGTCTGTCTGTCTACGAAGCTGCTAGCTATCGTGTGCGCTTTGCATGCGGCCAATGTCGGGCAGGGGGCAGATGCGTGCCATTGCGTGCCAAGACTCAGACAATCTCCCCCAGAACTTGTCCGCCCAGTCCACCAGCAACAGGTTTGCATATTGGGACATCAGGATCATGGCACTGATCAGCCCGATGCAAACCGCACTTAGCCTCAGAATCAAACTCCGAACAGGATGGCCGGTGGCAGGAGCATACCGCAAGCTGTCCCTAGATCTCCGAAGCTTTTCCAGACTGCGCATGCTTGGCACTTTGGCGCGGTGCTCAATGAGACAACCCTACCAAAGACAGCTGGTAAGGGGTAAATGATGGATTCATGGACCGTCGCCCACTTGCCCCAGGTACGATGTAGTCGCTCTTAATGAGCTGTAACATAAGACATATCATATACTACGTCATTAGGATATATATATATATATACTAGATGCAATCTGATGTTATATGGTATGCCTTACATATTATCACCGTTCGTTGCTCGAGTTTGTGGGGCAGGTAGGTGAGACCGAGCCACTGACTGAACCCAAGGCTTCAAAAAGAAATTGCCCGATGAGACTGAAAACTCCGACACGATTGTACCGGGATCGAGATGATCTCCAGATCTCTCACTGTGCTCCGTGTGCTTTCAAAATCTGCATGGTCACCTCCTGTCGATTCTGCGTGGCGACAGCCAGCGGCGTCATGCCCTGTGCATTCGGCTGGCTGACGTTGGCGCCCACCTGGGGGCTGATCCAAATTTTCATGCCGATATAAGTGCCTATTTCACATTGTGTGCTCTTGGGCGTTTGTCATGTGCACACCAATTCGGCATTATTCAACCATGACGAATGAACAAACTGCACAAGCCGCGTCTGCAGCAATCGGTTGAGGGAGGGAGTGTTTAGATAAACCCTCACCGGGCGGTTCAGGAAACCAAACTACACCTTCTCCTGTGCCCACCTGCACGGCACCCTGAACGAACAAGCAGGCGAACGGCCCAAGCCCCAAACCTTGAACCTTGCGCGTTACCTCATCCTAAACCCTTTTAGCTACTAGGCTTGGGGAGTAGCCAGGTCCTTGCACCCTAAACCCTAAACCCCCCTTTAAGCCATCACCCCGAAGCCCCAACCTTCAAGAGAAACTCCAGAAGCTCCCTTCGGCCGTAGCCAGCGGCATAGTGCAGCCCACTGTTACCAGAGCTGTCCACAGCCTCGAACCGACAAAAAGCTGACATCTGGCTTTGGGAAACAAACATCCTCGCGTATGAAAGTACATGAACAGTGTATTCTTGCAAAATCAACTGACAGGGTATGACAGGGTTGAAATGCATGTATATAACATGCAATATTGAGTGGTTGGTATTGCAGCATGTTAACTTGTACTATAATGATGCTGTGCATGTACAGTCGGTCAAAAGTGATCCAAGCTGCATATGGGTTGGCCCTGCTGTCCAAAAGCTTCTTCACCACTGCGATGCGGTTGGCACCGATGGCATAGCCCAGCGGAGTGATCCCCTTGAAGTCCTGAGCGTCCAAGGGCTTCTTCTTGTCAAGAAACTGCTGGACTGCTGCGAGATCACCTTTCTTGGCCGCTTCGTGGAGGGTGATGGGGGTGTCTTCAATCTTTTGAAGAGCCGGCTGAAGCTCGGAAGGGATGCCACCCATCTTTTGGCTGATCTTTAACATTAACTCTTCATCTTGGTAGTACTTCATGACGGCTTCCATGCCATTCTTCTTGATGTCTTCGAAGATGGAGGCCAATTCCGGGTCCTTCTCCAAGGACTTGACCTTGTCCTGGACCGGCGTGTCGCCGCTGGCCATCTTGTTGCTGTAGTGCTCTGCGATGGCCTGCGTCTGCAGCCAACCCCTCATGGCATCTGGGTTCTTCGCAAAGCTCTTCAAAGACTTTGCGGTTTCTGGGTTGCTCTCGACGTAGGACCGAACTTCCGCCCATGTTGCATCATCGACATCGGGGAGCCTGCAGATCTCCATGGTGGTGCCATCGCTGATCTTCAGCGTCTCGGTGGCCATGGTTGCAGCGCTAAAACAATTCGGGGCGAAAGGCTAAGATTCTGCCTTGAGGTGCGATTGGTGACGCCATCTTTGGCCCGCAACGAACCACATCACGAAACAAGCTGTGCCTCACATGAAAACTGGAGTTGTGGTTGTGATTCTTTTAGCATGGGTGGCGGATTGTCGAGGTGCCTATTTTTCCTGAATGCAGCGATGCAATATCTTCCGTCGAGCTGGCCCGGCCTACGATGACATCAATCCGATGGTCTCCACTGCCGTGGATTGCTGAAAGTTATGATGAAGTACAAGCAAGCTACTGGCGAACTACAGTGGCAAAGGCAAATAGCGAAACCAATGTTGGTGCTCATGTGCGAAGAGGTGTTGATTTATGTTCTGGTTCTCCCCTAGCTGGAGCTAAACTAACGGGACATTCACTTTGCAGTCAATGCATGTTCCCCTGTATCACGCCGCAAGGGATGACTCTGCCACTAATGATTTCCCAACAGATTGGCTTCAAAGGAAGCGGTACACTGGAATCTGCAATCGTTTTTCTCCTGAATAGTGTTCGAAAAACTGTGTGTCCAACTCAAGCGACGCCAGAGACCTTGCGGTCTCCACAAGGGCCTAGGCAATCTTTTATATAGAACACCCCCATCATACTTTAGGAAAGAAAGCTGCATCCAACTTGCGCCTCCTAGCTTCGCCTCAGCAATCATGGTCATGTGCACATTTTGTTTTCCGACGGGAGCACATTGAACAGTTCCTGGCTGCAATAGGCTTGATGCTTTGGGTCCAAATGCCTTCGCGCATCGGGGCCAGATCCCTTCCAATGACTTTCCTATCGCAAGAATCATGTAATACACACGAGCAACACAAGCTGGCCTGAAAACAAATCCTGAATTTCTAAAGTCTCCGGTGTCTTGGGATTCCACTTCGCCAACAAGCAGCTTCCACCGCTCGGTTAGATACAATTTCCACAAGCGCATAGCTCCTCGAAAAGGTCCTGGCAGCACCGTGCATGGCAACGTCCGAGAAATCGAATCGGGAGTTACGCTTCTGGGCTGTCCTTCTTTGGCTTGCGACTGCTGCTTCTGAACGTCATCAAACCTCGTAGTGTCACGCCGCCAGATCGCACACAGGCTTGTCACATGCTCGTGCCGCAAGACGCCCTGCATTCGAGCAGCAAGCGAAACGGAGATGTCAAATCCACTCCGGTGCAATCCAGGTGGACAAGTTCGAAGGCCGCAATGCCAACCAAAAGCATCACCGCAATCATCACTGCATGTTCCGTTTGTCTGTTGCCAAAGATCGTCCTCGACCGGGTCTGAATATTCATGCAGACACAAATCACAAGCAACACAACCTGATAAGCAACTTGCATCACGCGTCTGTGACACCGCTGTTTGGAAAGAAGCCGGCGGAGAATCTTCAGAAACATTTGCCCGCGATACCTGCGCAACTAGTCATGGCTCCAGACACTTTGCCGTCATCGTACTAGCAGCAGCATGTCCAGCAAACTCGCAGTGTACAGTTCACGTGACCGAAGTAAACACCCGTCCTTGTCAACTGTCTGATTGCCCACATCCATGCTCTTGGACACCGTCCGGCCTTTGTGCACAACAACAAGTGCCAAAACGGTGCACCTAGCAATAGAAAACTGAGATGCGAAACATGATCATGATTCAACGTGCTACCGGCTAGTGAACCAAACTCGCAGTGCAACGAAGAAGCTGTTTACCGATCGTGTCTGAATTAGCGTCGTCGACTCCATGGTTTGGCAAATTTCGGTGCCCACAGCTGCTTGGAAGCTGCAAGCACCAAGAAGAAGGAATCCATGGCACCACCGCGGCATCGTTGAATCAATAGCAGTACGTGTGCACAGCTCAACATTTCAACAATGCTGATTCCTGCGACACAGCTCGAAGCCACTTCCATTTAGCCGACATCGGAATTGCCGTCCTTTATGGAAGCCCTGATTCTTTTCGCTACCGGAATGTCGCTGCAGCCAAGACACGACCAAATCAACATCGAACACTTCAATGCGAATGCCACGGAAACATGTTGGAATGTCCGCATGCCCTGGAGCAATGCCCCCTCCATCTGCTCCAGGACCGATGCTCGAACAACATATCGCCCCATATCTGTAGATGCAAACACACACGCTAACATACTACATACATACATACATACTTTCAGACAAACATGCGTACACACACGCACGTGGAAAGTGTGTATATATGATCTCGGTTCTCGGTGCGCCGACCCCCCCCCTCCCCCACCTCATGGTATCCCCGCCGCCGGTGCCCGGATCATCGTGACTGTGCACACTTCTCCCACATCGCGGCTCCAAAACCGTCAACTGTCACGAGGATCTCGTCCCAGACACACCCCATCCTTGTGACTGCGGACACTTTCCACCCGTGACTCCGATATCAGGATATTAAAAAACAGCAACTGTCACGAGGATCGCATTCCTGAGAGGCTCCGAACTACACCACACCGCAGCGCAAGCAGACCCAAACCCGAACCACGCCACATCACGCCACACCACAGGGGCGGAGGGCAGGCACCCGAGCAGACCCAAACAGCGAACCACGCCACGCCACAGAGCGGGGAGTGATGATGATGATGACGGTGCAGCACCACAGGGGGGGCGAGGGAGAACCACACCACCCAAAGTAACCAAAAAAACGCGAGTTTTAAGGGTTACCAACCATTAGGGCGGGGAGGGGGGGGGGGAGACCCACACCGGGATCATATATATATATATATATATGTATATATGAGCATCTATGGCAATGTGTATAATCTGTATGAGTCATTGTGTAGCTCATGGGCATGTATCTTTGAAATCATTTGAACACATAGAAACATAAGAATAATAAAAGGCCCGGAGTTAGCGACTTGTGGGCGGCTTGTGGGTGTGCACGTGCGTGTACGTAAAAGCAAACAGATATACATGTAAATAACATATGTCAAAAATACAAATATATGCATACACGTTTGTAAATATATAACTATGCACATGACAGTGCAGCGGCAACATGCGATACAGTCATACATTAGTCATAAATGTCACAAAGCAAACAAGATGACTCATTATCATCGCCTCGGCACGAGTTGACCGCAAACCGTGTGATGTCAACAGCCAGTAGCTGCAATCGCGAATCAAATGCAGCGCGGTGACCTCGAAAGGTGGGTGCAACCCGTCGCCCTCTTTCTGCCCACACATAAAATACATAAAGATGTTGGTTTCACTGGCTTCATCATGCAAGTATTGACGGTGGCGAAAGAAACAGCGTTGCTGATGCAAGTGATGACACGCACGCGGGGTAGAGACCAAGGTATGTCAGTGGTCGTGGCATGTCGTGGTGGTGATGACTACAAGCAATACACGGACGATACTTTTCATTAGGTAATTAAAATGTCGGGGAAACGATTTCTCCTGATTCATGTGAGGCTGGTGATGATGATGCAGTGCATCGTAATTCTAATGCTTGTGAATGCTTGTGATAGTTGCATGTGACGTCATGGGTGACGATGGGGATGAAACCGAAATGGCCGTGCATGCGACGATTACGGTGGTACGGTGTTCATGATGCCGTGTCTGCCGATGATGGTGCTCAGGTTTATCGTCGTAGTGCTTCACGCTGTGTTACAGTATCATGATCACGATGGTGAGCGGCGTTTGGTGACGATAAGGAGACACGAAACAGCCAAACAATGCACGGCTCGATGAGCGCCACCAGTTACGACAAAGGTAATCCTGGTTCATGTGATATTCGGTGATGATGATGCCGTGCGTCGTGATAGGGATAATGATGATGATGACTTCCGTGGTGGTGGCATACTGTCAATGGTCGCGGTTGAATATGTGCGTGACGATGGAGATGATGCCAACGCGTGTGGTGCGCATTACGATAGCGGTGAGGATGGTTCGAGATGCCGACGGTCGTTATTGGCGAAGATGTTGGTAGTGGCGATACTGCAGAATAGGGAAGCTGCTGAAATAAAAACTGTTGATGCTGATTACGGGTGATGGCACATGCGATGCACGATGCAAATGACAGCATATTTGCGAGCAGCACCGGTATGTGATGTTGGCGGTACTTGATGATGATGACGCTGTGCGTCGCGATAATAACGATGATGAAATGATGATGGTATGGTGCCATAGTGACAATGGCAGCCATTATCATGATGATCATAATGCTGTTCGTAGCGGTGCGGGTGGCGATGCGGATGATGGCGACAATTGTGATGCACATTACGACTGGTTGCGGCTAGGATGTTTCCAACACTGGTGGGGCGACGATGCTCTTGATGCCCATGGTCGGTATTGGCGAAGATGCGGGGTCGGCGATGCTGTTGAATCGGGAAGCGGGGGAGCTGCTCGAATAAACGTTGCTGGTGGTGACTACGGGTGATGCGACCGGAGTGGCAAACGCGATGCATTGAGGAGCCACTGGCGACATTGCAAACGACCAAAGATGGTATGCTTGCGAACAGCACCGGTGACGACACGAACTCCTGCTGATACACAGCTGATACATGTGATGCTGGGTGATGATGATGCTGTACGTCGCGGAGACGATGGTGTCAACGGCAGCGATGATCATGATGCTGTTCGCAACGGTGCGCGTGACGGTGGGGGGTGATGCCCACGGTTGTGGTGCATGTTACGATTGCGGCGAGGCGAGGATCATCTTGATGCCGATGGTCGTTGTGATGATGGCCATGCAAGTGACAGACAGGCAAGCCACTGGAATCGATGGTGCTGTCGTTGACAATGATGATATGATGATCACGATGGTGCTGTGGCTTGTGGTGATGCAATGAGAGTAGCATCGCAGGGTTTCCTGATACATATGATACATGTGATGTTGATGATTTTAATTTGGCAATGATGATGCTGCGCGTAGCATGACGCTGATTTAGTGGCATAACTCAATCCCAATGGCCGCGGCTATGGTGATGCCGCCGAAAATGCTGGTGGTAGTGGTGCGCGTGAGGGAGAATGCCGGCGATCGTGATGCACATTACGATTGCTGTGGGATGGTGTGGGGGATGTTGCTTCTCATGACGGTGATCATCACGATGATGATGTGGATTGCGATGATGGTTCGCAAAACACGATGCACCATATTGCATTACCTGATGAGCCTGAAGCCAAAGGTGATGATGCACATGATGGCATGCGTGCGAGCAAAAGCGGTGACGAACGAAGTTATCTTGATACATGTGACGTCCCTGACATTTGGTGATGATGATGCTGTGCGACGTGACGATGGTAATGTGGTGGCCTAATTTAATTGTCAATGGCCGCGGCTATGATGATGGTTTGAATATGCCGGCCGAAACGGTGCGTGTGACGACGGGGGTGATGCCAGCGGTGGTGGTGCACGTTGCGATTGCGTTGAGGACGGTGCCGACACCGATGGGACGATGATGATCGTCACGGTCATGGTTGCCGTGGTACCGATGCTGTGACGGAATGAGGGTGATAATGAAAGCACAAAAACAACGGTGTTGCTGCCGATGGTAATGCTCAAGTCAATTGTCGTACAGGATCGTGACTCTGTCGTGGTGGAATTGCTCGCGATGATGCGATGTGAGTCGCGAAGGCACGTTACAGGATGGGGTCGTGCCGGCGATCCGTGATAGTGATCCGTGATGATGACGATCCTGTTGCTGCTGATTATCATCAGGGTGGGCCGTCCACCAGTACATACTGCACGCAGCACACTGCCGAAACCGGCCGTCGAAACGCAAAGGGTGTCGTCGGAATCGCAGGCTCTTGAAGTAGTCTGGCAAAACCCCACGAAACGGCACGGGCTGGCACTATAGCATCGTGCATCATGCCCGTGCAGGGAATGCTCCGTCCAAACTCGCATCCTCAGCGCTTCGCTTGCCCGTCACACTTCCCCGCACGTGCTTCGTGCGCTGCAAGGAGCCATGGAATAGCAGTTTTCGCCGTTAAACGATCTCTTGCGTCGGCCGGCAATTTTTGCGGGCTCATCGCGTTCCCACGGGCGCCGTGTCCTTCAATGACTCGCGCGAAATCGTAATGCAACGGAGACTGGGCAGGTCCTCGACGAATTGGGGCCACAGCTGCATCAGCTCCTTCCAAGGCTTAGGATTTCTTGGCCATGTTCGTTGCTCAATGCTCGCTGCTCGCATACTCGATGCATCTCTTGAACAGGATCTGAAAGACTGCACACAACGACGAGCCCACGCCTGGTTGGGCCGGCTTTGTCTTTTGGGATACCCGTCAGATGTAATTCCGCTTTATGAGGACACACAGTCGAAACATCTTCCACTGCTCTCATGTAGTGCTACTCACGAGGACACAGACAAAAACAACACATCTTGATGTGAATGCAGCACGGACAGCAATCCGTGGTCTCGGGCACCTCCAACGTCTGCCGAAAAGCCTCCGCACAGCAACTTGTTTATTGTCAGATAAATTTCCTGATGTCATATAAGTTATTCTGACCCCAAACAGAGACAACGCTATGTCAGGGTAAGAAAGGAGAGGAAGGGAAGGGAAACCCCAAAAGAAGGACCCTGCCCTGAACGTGAAGGCACAGCTCAGCGGCGCCTTTTTCATCTTGAGCCAAAAGTCGATGGCGTACTTAAGGCTTCAGAAGTTACATAGTCAGGTTACACTTCTTTACATGGAGGTTGTTCGTAAATCTTCAACTCCCCCCTCCTGACTTGAAACATCTGTACATTCTTGCATCGCAAAAGTTGACATACTATACAATGCACGTGGATCCACTGAATTAATGAACTGAGGAAAACAACCTGCCGTTGATTTCTTGACCGATGTGTCACGACACGGTCAGTGACGGTTGATTCCACGACCATCCTGGTGCGGCGCTAGGAGCAGCCAAACACCCAGGAGGTCTTGACATGTGAAGCTCAGCTTCGTGGGCATAAAGTGCTCAGCATCTTAACCCGATTTAACATCCAATCCAACCCAAGCTTAGCCATATGAGGGTAGAATGGAAGTTGACATTGTCAACAGTTGGAGCGCATGAGACCATTTCTGGACTGCCAACGCTTTGGTGAGAGGGTCGCCTCTCTGCTCACTCGTGTGGATATACTCCAGGATGACATTGGAGTTGTCATTGACATATTCACAAGTCGATGACACGTTTACACGGTGGGTTTTGCCTAAATGGCGAAGTTTGGAACTAAATCCCTTTCTGACGATAGCAATGCAAGCCTGATTATCCTCGTAGATATGCAAGCAGATCCCGGGGATGAGGGCCTCCCAGACTTCATGTAAGGGAATTGCATCGTTGTACAGAGCTCCACTTAGTGAAACGAACTCTGCTTCAGTACTGGAACGAGATACGACCTTTTGACGTTTACTCGACCATGATAACAAAGCGAAGCTTCCTGGGCGTTCGATAGCTAGCACGTATCCGCTGGTGGATCGGGACGTGTCAATGCAGCCGGCGAAGTCGGAATCACAGTAGAGGGACAACCGCAAATCCGAAGGAGAATCGCTGATGCACAAAATCAATGCGTAATCGACTGAATGAAGAACATAACCGATCAATCGGTGAACTCGACGGTCATCGTTCTTGGACCAGCTGCAGACGTGCGAAGCAAGCGTTGTGACTGCCACAATCAAGTCAGGCCGACTCAACCTTGCAAGCCATAACACCTTCATTAAGATTTTCGCGGCAACTTCGGTAAGTTGCCCGCGGCAATCGTCGTCTGCGGCAGGTAGTGTGCTAATGTCAAGATGGGGAGTAAGCTGAGGTTTAACCTTAAGCGAACATACAGTCTCGTACAATTGAACACACTGTTTTGCGAAATCCGTTGATTCAAGTGCTAGGGCTTTCTTTTCTTGCCAGCACGCGAATCTGTGGCATCTTCCAAGTACCCTTGATAGTGCTGCATACGGCTCGAGCTCAACCTCCTTGGAGAGGGAGCGCCAGAAGTCGTCATGCAGGGACAGACGTCCAGACAAAGTCAAGTCGTCCACGTAGACACACAAGACTAATCCTAGGGACTTGAAATAATAAACCGATGGGAGATTTGGAAACTCCACCCCGCCTAGCTTAACCAAAATCTCATGAAGATGTTTCTGCCAGTAAGCGGAACTTTCGGGGTGCCCATACAACGCTTTGCGCAGGGGCACGCATGGTTGGAAGATGTGCTTCTTATCGGGTGGGACTAGCTCTGGAGGTAGAAGGACGTATGTGCGGTGCTTCGTCTTGAGCTTGGCTTGTGTGTAAGCTCGTACGGCATCGCTGGTTGTCACGCCATGGGACTCCAGCAAACCGAAGGCAACCGCTGTGTTCAGTCCTTCAAGTGAAGATGGACATGATGCAAACAGCTCTTCAAATACAGCAGACATGCCGGATTGGTCCCTGATATCATCACCCCTGAAGACTATTCTTGCCTTGAGGCGCCACTGATCAGGACTCAGCTCAGATCCTTTTACGGACAAAATGACCATCAAATTTCCGAAGTGGATCACATTAGAAGTCCTAGTAGCCCATGCAAGAACATCCTTTTTGGACACTATCTCATCTTCAAGCCACGTCCCAACATCAACAAGACCATCTTTCTCTTTCTTAATTGCCTCGTAGGCTCCTGGTTGACCCGACCATTCTTTTCTATCGAGAAGGCGGTGAACTAAACCCGGAAGTTTGACCTCTTTCATCCCAGACTCATGCATAAGAACATCAAGAGGAACTTTGGGTTTAGAATCCTTTTCACGATGAAGTTGTGGCAAGGAGGGAACACAAGGGAACGCTGGCGTCTGGAACGCTTCGGCAAAAGGGAACAGAGACATGAGCAGCACCTTGTGGAATGCCTCAGGATAGAAGGCTACCCGTGGCCAAAGCGTGCTCGATGAACAATGCTTAACATGTGAAGCATGAGTGCATTTGAAAGGCTTGAAGTTCTCGACTAGCCGTTTGCTCGAAGACATGATTTGCCATGGAGCATCAAACGGAGCTCCTGATGTCGAAACCATACCTAGAGCACAGCCCTTGAATGAAACTCTGCGAAGGCTGAATTGATCCTCGAAGGCTTGAACTTCGGGAAGCAACCAGCACGTTGAATCTTGCGGCCATTCAAGAGAAACCTCGCCGCCATTGGCAACGATGATTGAAGCAACCTGAAGAAAACCCAGCAATGTCCTCTGAGCCTTCCAGTGAACGTACCCAGAGTACTTCGCTCCCCATCCGTCCCCCAGCAAAGAACCGACTAAGCAGCATCCCGGCACAGCAGACACTTGGCTGATGAGCTGATCGATGACAACCGGATCAGACAGATCAACGCGGTCGCATGATATCGAGACAACTTGAATGCCTGACCCTTTGGCAATACCGGCAAGATTGGATCGCGAATGGGACGCGATTTCAAACAACACAAGAGCTCCAGGCTTCTGGTGTCGATACATGGCAGGCAATGCGAGAGGATCTTCGAGACCAGCCTCAGACGGTTCATAATCGGAGAGATGATCTCCGTCGGGACGGGCAGGAGGCCTAGGTAGCTGGAGCTCCTCGTAAGACAAGAACTCTTTGGGAACTGGGGTCTCGGGAGCTTTAGCTTCTCTACCGAACGCCTTCTCAAACCTCGCAATACACTCAGCATTGTGATTGCTTTTGTCGTTGTCGCAAGCATAGCACCCCGGTGTGGGACCTATCTTACGAAACCTAGCATACGTGATGTAAATCCTACGAAGCTTCTTCCTCTCACCCTGTTCTGTGAACACATGCGGCGTGAAAGGAATCGGAAGAGGTTCTTGAGCAGGCACCTCGCCTTCATCAGCAAATGTCAGCAACGCGTGCTCTGCGGCGTTGCGAAGGGGAAACACAGGGTCACCGGACCGAACATAAAGCTCAGCCTCCGGAACGCTGATCGGCTCAGTCCAAGCACCAGTCTTGGAACGAAGCTTTTCTAAGTCAAGCACAAGGGTCACTGAACGATAGATGCCACCTGGTTCTAACCTCCACCCTGCGAACACGCCCGGAGCTGCGTTTGGACCAAACTTGCTTTCATGCTTATGTCGGTAAAACACAAGCTGGCCAAGGATCAGCTTTCTGATGTGAACATCATCCCTGCCTGAGTCCTCGATGTTGAAATTCCACCTACAGAGCGACTCATCTTGCGGTGAAGGCAACGTCAGATTCAGTGCGATGGCACCGTAACGACAAGCAACGGGCCACAACTCAGGACGGATCGAAAACCCAGCTTCAAGGAACGACGATCTCACACCCTCTTGGAAAGTCCTAATCTCTCGCTCAAGTTGAGCGTTGTGGGGAAAGCGATTAGGCAATGACGGCGAGGAGATCCATCCCATTTCTTCAGCTGCGGCTTCGAATTCATCAGCTGCATCAGACACTAAGGTCACAGGTTTTGAGCAAGCTCTACGTCCAACAAACTTTCTCAGGGCAGTCACAACAGCATTGGTCGAACGATCATTCCCAGGATAAGCTGCAAACAGACCAGTGTACTTGTCCCTCAAGCACAACACAACATAGGATTTGTCCGGAGCATCGGAGTCGTCTGGCGATCTAAACACGTGAATGTGATCAGCGGCAATGACTTCTCCAAACTCTGAAGCTTCGAACGGATCAGGTTCTTCCTCGGCATCACGAGGCTTTCTGCGCACGCGCCTTGAAAAAGCATGCGAGCTTGATTACATATGTCACAGAAAGGATTCTTCGGGAAGTGAAACAACCTGTGCTCAAGCGACATGGCCTGATCTCTGAGCTTCCGAATCCTTTCGGGAACCTTATCCTCTGCTCCATCATCCTGTTCAGCTTCACCTACACCTTCCGCAGATGCATCAGCGCCAGGCCCTTCGGGTGGCGCATCAGCAGCCGAACCCTCGGGAGCCTCAGCAGCATATGCTGGCAAAGGCTCTTCACAAGAGTCGATTGGGAAACCCAGAGCACGGAGCTCTTCACAGTGCGAATCTTTGACTTCAGAAGGATGCTTTGCAGAGAACAAGACAACCACAACGCGATCGCCTTTCCACGGCATCGTGGCATGGATACAGCTCTTAGCCCGGAACCGAATGACCCCGTTCTTGAAACTAAGAACCTTTCCAAGCTTTTCAGGGTCACCAGGACACGGAGTTGTCCCCCTGATTCTTCAATCCATACGCCTCCTCCTGAGAACCCACCTAAGGAGATGACGGCATTATCAAGGTTGGCATTGTGGAAGTCTTTGTGAGGACCCGTCGCAACGTTGCTGAAAACGCAAAGGGTCGTATATCCGAAGCCGGGAAGCTTCGAACATGCAAACTTGTTGAGAGCTTTGGTAACTAAAGGAAACCGGTGGGCGGAAGTCCTAAGTCAAAGATTCCCGCCCAACCGATAAAGTCCAGTTGAGAACGATTCCCCATGATCACCTCTAGCAGCAGGTTCCTTGTCAACCAAACCGAACAAATTGCGAA